TGGATATTTATTTAGTATTAATTGATCAAAAATTGCTAAAAACTAGGATTCAACAAGTACATTTATGGCAAATGTTGTATTCAGTGCCAAATTAAAAAAAAAAAAACCTCTTTTAGTAGATGTGTAGACACATTTTATAAAATACTGGATTTAGATCAGTGAACTACTAGTTAATAATATCCCAAATAAGGCATATCTTAAACAAAAAAATCCAAATTACCGAGTACAATGGTTTCTGCAATACAAGATATGATAAACAACCTGGATTTTTCACTACAACAACAGATTGATCTGTTAAAAAAAGTATAAAGCAAATAAGCTAAGTTATCAAGCAAAAATACATAAATTTCTGGGGAAAAAATAAAACAGAAAATAAACAAACTGAGGACTTCAAAAAATTCAAGATTCTTGTAATTTTGGAGAATACTTGGATGTGTTGAATTTGAAACAAAGTATAGAACTAGTAATCACAATTTAGCAATAGAAAAATACCTACTGAAAATGTACACAGAATGAAATAGAAGATGAACTGCACTTTGTTATCATATTCTCTCAATATAAATTAATAAACCAACAAATCATTACATTACAAAGACATTACAATTTCACAAGAAACACAGGATGATCTCCAGAAATTCAATTTCTTGATGACTTCAAAAAATAACGTCACAATAAAAAGGATAGGTAACAATATTCATTTCAATTAAGACATGAAAATGCCATCTGATATGTATCCTATTAACAACTTGCCTTCCTTTTACAGTAGTAGTTATCACAACTATTATTTATTTATTGTTGTTTTGGATAGGAGCAGTCTAGCTGGGTTCACTAACAGTGGTAACCACGTAGGAAGTTTAGGAGCATACTTTTACACAAAGTATCAAAGCACCATAATTAATACAAACTAATTGTTCAGTATTGCCTGGTTTCAGATTTGAATAAAGATGAATATTACTTAGTTCAAATAACTGCAGAAAACAGTGCTGGAGAATCACCACCTGCTAGTTTAGTAATACCACCATACATGACTGGTAAGTATCTGTAATACTGCCTTATTTGGTAAATCACCTGTCATTCCTTAATTAACATGGCCTTATTTGGTAAATCACCTGACATTCCTTAACATGGCCTTATTTGGTAAGTCACCTGTCATTTCTTAACATGGCCTTATTTGGTAAATCACCTGTGATCGTCAGTTGTGGCGTGGATCTGAAGTTCATGTTAGGGTCATGGTAGTTTCACCCTGTTTTGGGACTTAATTGTACTTTGTGTTATTTATAAATTTTCAGGAAACATATGGTAATTTTTTTTTTTTAAATGACACTAAAATAAAGCAAGTAAAACAATGGGGGATACGCTAGTGAGGTATTCAAGAGGGGATTACTTTTTTGACTATTGTTATGCTAATAACGACCCAATAACTCACTATCCATATATGTACATAACCAGATACGGATTTAGGACAGGCTCTTCTATTGTTTAACATTATACCCACTCATGATTAATCAAACGCCGAGAGAAACGTGCGCGTACATCGGGTGTGTGTTTGGTATGTGTAATAGCCAATATTCTCAAGGCTAAGTTGTTAACGCTCAAGACCAGACTGCACAATTTTTTGGCGAGGTCTGTCGTTGAAAAAATGACCAAGTTTTCGTTACCGTGAAAGTTTTTGAAAATTTCCTGGGAAGTGCAGAGAACATGGCAATAAAAGATTACGGGAAAGGGGCATGAAAAGTACGTATTGAACGCTAAAGACATTGCAGTGTTCTCCCCAGGCCTTTTATACAAGTATCGGGTCTGATACTGTTCTTTTTGAATATAGATGGAAAACCGTTGACTTCTTCAGTAGCATTTCAGACATTGCAAGATATATATATAATACTCACCACTATTGGGTTAAAAAATTATTTACGATCATTCAAAATTAATATCGTGGTCATGGCTATCCGTTCGACCCAGTACTGACCATCCGCTGTTGCGACGCCTCGAGCAGAGTAACGGAAGGCTGAATTCCCCGCGTTTACTGTCACAGTGGCATACACTCGACAGCAACGGCTAGGAAGTTTGTCAGTTTTATTTTGTAAATTACCTGTCATTCCTTAACATGGCCTTATTTGGTAAATCACCTGTCATTCCTTAATTAACATGGCCTTATTTGGTAAATCACCTGTCATTCCTTAACATGGCCTTATTTGGTAAATCACCTGTCATTCCTTAACATGGCCTTATTTGGTAAATTATCTGTCATTCCTTAACATGGCCTTATTTGGTAAATCACCTGTCATTCCTTAATTAACATGGCCTTATTTGGTAAATCACCTGTCATTCCTTAATTAACATGGCCTTATTTGGTACATCACCTGTCATTCCTTAACATGGCCTTATTTGGTAAATCACCTGTCATTCCTTAACATGGCCTTATTTGGTAAATTACCTGTCATTCCTTAACATGGCCTTATTTGGTAAATCACCTGTCATTCCTTAATTAACATGGCCTTATTTGGTACATCACCTGTCATTCCTTAACATGGCCTTATTTGGTAAATCACCTGTCATTCCTTAACATGGCATTAGTGGGTAAAACACCTGTCAGTCCTTAACATGGCCTTATTTGGTACATCACCTGTCATTCCTTAACATGGCCTTATTTGGTAAATTACCTGTCATTCCTTAACATGGCCTTATTTGGTAAATCACCTGTCATTCCTTAATTAACATGGCCTTATTTGGTACATCG